AAATCTTAAATACGAATGTCTGGAGAATGCGCAAGACAACTCTTTATATGCCTCCTTAAATAGCCTGTGCCCTCCAACTTTGGACGATGAGTATAGACTCGACCACAGTTCTTGCACTTTATTATGCAAACTTCTTCATTTTTTTCTACCACATTAAAGTGTTCCAAAACAAATGGACGCAATCTAGAATCATCGGGCATGATTTAACTTGAATTAAGAATTTGAGTTTGAGAAATGAGAGATGAGTGAAGTCTTGAATACTTCAATTTGAGTTTGAGAAATGAGAGAGATTGATAATTTTGTGAAAAAAATGAAAGAATGAGGGGGTCTTTATAGTTGAAAATAAGGAAAAAGTGTAATTATAAGAAATTTGGGGTTAAAACAAAGTTAGGGAGGTTAAATGACTATTTTAGAAAGCCCAAATGGCTATTTTTGCAGGCCAACGGCCATTTTTTAAATGTTGCAACTGCTAAAAAAAGTTTTTAGATTTTTTTTTTAAAAAGTAGTTGTTGGGCCCGTTTGAGCCCATTTAGGACCGGTTGAACCGGTCCCGGGCCCAAACGGTCCTGGTCCTAACGGGCTTCTTCAATGAACCGGCCCACTTGGGCCTCAAGCCTCCTGGTCCCGGGCTTAAACGGATAGGCCCGTTTAGGCCCACTACCCATATGGGCTCGCGGGTCTGGGACGGGCCAGGGCCTAACCGGCCCACTTGCCACCCTTAGTTGCACATCCCGAACATATCAATAAAAGAAATCTTTCAAGCTGATAGACCTTATGTCATTAAATTTTGTCAGTAATGGTAACAGTGCCTTGTTTATTTTTCAAATCCAATCGTTGAAAGGCCAAAATAGTTCAGCTACGCAAAGACACACACATGCGCACAAGAGGAAAAGAAACACTAGTACTCCATAGCTGAAGAAAAAAGATATAAGGCAATAGGATGCTGGCTACACTTACATTGTCAATGTGAGCCTGAAGAGTAGTTAGACGATTCCTTTTTGACTCTATTTTGGAAGCCTTCTCAACTGATTGTTGCTGGAGAGTTATCAACTCTTCCATTTTCATCATGGAACTCTTCTTCATCTCATCTTCAAATGATGCAAGCATGGGTTTTAATGTTGTTTTGTAGTCTATACCTAAGACCTCCGCTTCTGAGGACCCTTGGGCATTCAAATTATACTGAAATTCATTTCCTATCTTTAACCTGAAATTTCAAACGAGATTATCCGTAGTCAATCATCAAGGAAAATATGACGGGCAACAAGTAGAAGGAAGCTCTACTTTAAACCAGAGAAAACATAAACAAATATACTTGCTCATCTCACTTTGATCGACCTAGCTCCAAATATTCAATCTAAACCCCTCCCAAATTATGATCTATATCATAAAATTGTAGAATTTTCCCACCAACAGTTCAAATTCAAATATTCAATGTGACGCCTTTTCAGCCAATTGTCTGCTTTCACATTGTGAACTCTTCTTACAAAATTCAATATAATAATCAATTCAAAGTTTTTACTCTCAGACTCCAAAAGAACTAACCCAGGTCATTTAAAAAGATACAGAGGAAGTATAACTTATGGAAAAGAAAAAGAGGAAAGATTTTTCAACCAGCAACAAGAATGTACCGGTAATCTGAGAGACAAATTGTTGCATATAGGCACTCTCATTAGAACTTTTTTCACAAGTGCTACTGGATATTTGGTCCATGAAATTGGCCAAATTAAGAGAGCGATGCAATTAAATTGAATAGATGATGTACCTGAACTTTCCACAATTCAAATCTGTTTCACAAGTAACACTAGGGTGATCTGACAAATTCAGGTGGCTATACAAGAGAAACAAGGATCTTCATTTCTCTAAATAATGGGATAATAATAGATTAGAAGTAAGCATATCTCGAGTTCGAGCCCTGGATATGGAAAAATCCTTGGTAGGGAGCGCTTCCCCCGAATGGGGCCCTACGCAGCGCGAATCCGGATATAGTCGGGCTCCAATGCGGGTACCGGACACCGGGTGGGAAACCAAAAATATATATATATATCTGGATGAAGCGACACAAAACGAAAAACAACAGAAAATACCATCAATAATTGCCGTATAATCCAACAGCAAATAAATAAGATATCATATGTGAACATGTAATAAAGGATATTCTTCATGAAAGACCAGGGTATTGATGTAAATATGAAATTCAATTCCAACACAGCATTTCCAGTCAGGCATGATGCAGCCTTAATTTCTAGCAAGAGTGATTGGAAAAATTAAATTCGGAACAGTTAGCCTTATAGCCTTCTGACTAGCATAATGTTCCTCATTCATGTCTCAAGTGAAAGTTGGTGGAAACAGCAGACGAGCTAAGTTGTGATTCTCATACATCACAGTAAGCAAACTGCAATCCATTTATCAGTCACCTAAACTATCTGCTGAGAATCCAATATGGAAGCAATCGGACGCTAAACATGTTGCAATGGACACTTCCACTATTAACACTTACTCATACTCTTAGAGCTCCATCTAGTCCAACTAAACTAGCCATAGTAGTAAAATAAATCCATGCCCAAAGAATAATAAACCTTAGATTACTAAAAAAATTAATTACATTCTGTCAAATGTATTTTTTTTTTTTTTTTTTTNAAATTAATTACATTCTGTCAAATGTATTTTTTTTTTTTTTTTTTGATAAGGTTTGTCAAATGTAAATTAAGTCAATTTTTTCTTTAACAAGAATAAACAACAGGAGAGAGTACGAAAACCTCCTGATAGATTGGTTGCACTCGATCATTAGCTCCTCAAGCTTCTTGTACATGTTCCCAATGGCAGAGTCGAGGTCCCAACCCTTCTCCTCCCATTCTATCCTCTGGTTCTCAATATCTGCAATATCCCTTTCCAAAGCATGCAACTCCCTCTTCATCCTATCTGCATCCCTGGGATTAATCCCTTGCTCCTCCACCTTCTTCTTCAACTCCTCGTTCTCCGCATAAATGCTCTCCTTCTCAGCAACCTTAGTCTCCAACCCCTTCACTTGCTCCTCCAACGACCTCTCCACCGTCGTTATACGCCCTTGTAACTGTTCAATGATAGAATGGAACTTCTTGACATCTTCCTCCAACGCACTCTTTTCATTCTCCAATACCTCTCTCTCTGATGGCCCATTCTTCAATGCCTCCAACTTTGCCTCTTGTGCCTTCAAATTCTCCTCCGAAGCATTCACATCCGCAACCAACCGCGCCTTTTCTTGTTCCAACTCCAGCATAAATTGACTATCCAAGTCATCCGCTTCTTTATCTTCTCCCCTAATGTAATGAGAGTAATTCTCAACAGTATACCTAAACACCTTATTCTCCGAAGCAAGCTGTTGAGCTCGGGTACTCAACCGGTGATCATCAAATTTACCGAGCTGAACAAGCCAGTGAATCGCTGCAAGTAGACTAGGCCACGAATGAGGCGTCCCAGGGGCACGCAATGCAGATTTGTTCACTTTTACGGGGCAGTTTAGGCTTTTCAGTAGGGTTTGGAGATCATCGTCGAGTTTTTGTGATTCTGAGGGGTTAAGTCCAAAGCGAGAGAGGATGAATTTTAGGGTTTCGGTAATATCTTTAGCAGAAGGGAGAGGGGGTTTGAGAGTAAAAGGGAGAGAGTGAGAGGAAAGGTAAGCGTTGATCGTACGGATGGCGTTGAGTTGATAGGAGCGGTCGGAGATAGGGATAGCGGCGGACCGGGGGTTTACACCGACAGATGACGGCCGACTACTGGCGAAGCTTGCGTCGGAATCACGGCCGCCGGTGGCGATAAATTGCCTTGGGTCGTTTGCCTTCGTGGCGGTCGGAGTCGGCGGTGGATGTCGCCAGTCCGGTGCTACAGAGTTCGTAGGGCGTCGTCCGGCGCCTCGCATTGTTGGAGGATGCTACTGTTGATCTCTGTGGACAGTGAAGGTTTTTTGAGTTGAATTCCCGCTTTGCAATTGGGAAATGAGATGCGGACATATACCACTATTGAAGTCATACACTAAAATCATGTCTAAAGGGGTGATTAAGAGGAATAACATTAAATATTGTCCCCAAGTTAAATGTAGTTAGAAAATGAATTATTGAGAGATTTCTCTACCAAATGAGTGGAGTTTGTCCCGAATCATCAATTTAGCAAAGTAACATTAAATCAAGAAGAAGGCACAATTTATTTTGTTCAAAGTCAGCAATAAAGTTTTGAGATTTTTAAGCAAATCGCTAAATTATCATTTAAACTAAAAGTTTAATCATAAATATTCAACACTCAGACGATTTTAGTTGTAATTAGCTATTAAGTTTGAATTTTAACCCCGAACAACAAAGTTGAAGAATTGTAGTGGTCTTAGTGAAGAATAAGAGACAAATATATCATTTGGCACATAAGGGGAAGAGATAGAGTTAATTTATAAATATCACCAATTACAATGACAGTTAGCTACGAACCAATCTTATTAGGGGACACTCTATGCAATTTTTTGTGTCTGAAGTTGGGAGAGCGTGACTGAATTTCATGCGCCTATGACTAAACTTGCCAAAGCCTAATTTGAGACAATTTGAAAGAATTGTTCGTAGAATTTTAACAATTTTATACACGATGTAATATCTAAATTTACTCCAAATGAATTCAATTGAAACATAAATTTCAAATATAGTAAAAAACAAATTTCAATCATCATTTGTCAAAATAATAAACAAAACGACCCTATTTTGCAACAACGATGGTTTACCAATGTTTTTAAGATATTCCAAACATTAATCACTTAATTTAAACTCATTTTTCATTTTACGAATACATAACAACACTTTTCATATAAACTCGACTTACGCTCAGGGGTGGATACCAGGTTAACTGAACTCAGTATTTTTATTGCGGAGTATGAATTTATGTGTAAAACTTTATCAAAATTACAATAAATAGTAGATATGAAGTCATAGCAATAACAACCGAATAATCAAACCGTTCTAATACAAGTTTCACAACAAATTTACACCACTGACAACCCAAAGACAATACCCTAACAGGCTAGCCCAACCCCCGATACAAAGGAAGAAAAGCGCTCGACTCCCTCTTAACCATCCACCCTAATGTTCGATCTTCACACCTTCATATCTAAAGCCATGTCCTTAAAAATCCGAAGTCGCGCCATGTCCTGCCTGATCACCTCACCCCAATACTTCTTAGGCCGCACTCTACCTCTTCTCGTACCCGTCAAAGCCAAAACGCTCACACCTCCTAACCGGGGCATCTTGGCTTCTCCTCCGCACATGCCCGAACCATCTAAGTCTCGCTTCCCGCATCTTGTCGTCTATGGGAGCCACGCTCGCCTTCTCCCAAATATCTTCATTCTTAATCGTATCTAGCCTAGTGTGCTCACACATACTCAGCATACTCATATCTGTTACTTTCATTTTCTGGGTATGGGAATTCTTAACTTGCCAACACTCAGTCCCGTATCATAAGTCACGAGTCCCAATTCACAAACCATATTCATGGCACCTCGTGCCCACATTATTAATCACAATTACACGGACAACTCAATTTTAGAAGGTTGAACCCAAAAAATTTAAATTTTAGATCCGTCTCTGATTACGTTTTTACTGGTACTTCTTAATAAGTTAAGTGCCTCTAAGATATACTTGCAACCAGACTTCATATCATCTATAGTCGAGAGAAACTTCTTTTAGTCATAGAGCATAACGTTTGGAGCAGAACCTTGGGTTATCTGTTTATAGTCAATATAATTAATTATATCTCTCTGGCTGTATCCCCAACTCCATTCGAAATTAACCAACAATGACCATGGGGAAGGAGGAGGAGAAGATAGTGTGTTTTGTCTGTTATTTGTTACAATTGATTACATATTAAATAACGGGATCTTAATACAAATAACTAGTCATATTCATTGTTTACTTTTTATAGTCATATACATATATTATACAATGATTATACACAATTATACATATATAATACATACATTATGCATATATTATACTTGCACCGACTATTTTTAATTTAAACGGTTTGGCAGATGATTATTTGGATTAATTCTTCTTAAATAATTTTGTAAACATGTGGGCACATATTAAATACCAATGTGCAAACAGGATGCGTCCTGAAACTTTTAAAAGTGAGAAACGGCAGTAGTTTAGGGCACCATAAGACAAACTAATGTCTCTAACGTCTCTAATAATAACTTTAAAGCTCGTTTGGATTGACTTTAAAAAAAGTACTTTTTAAGTGTTGAAGTTAATTTTATAAATAAGCAGTTATGTGTTTGGATAAAAGTGTTGGAGCTGAAAAAAATCTGTTGAAATGTTTGGTAAACAAGTGCTGATAAACACTTTTTCTATTAAAATGACTGAAATATCTTTAAAGTTGTTAACACTATAAAGAAACTTATTACTAGTATAATATTTTATTTTAAATTTATTAATACAAATACAAAATAATTAATATTTGAACTGATCACCTAAAATAAGACTCAATCCGAATTGTATGATTATTGATATAAAAAAAAATATGAAATGGAAAGAAAACAATTGGTAAATGCTTTAGATAATCCCAGCTAGATGAGTGGCGGTGGACAAAAAAATAAAGTAAAAACTCAAAATGTGAATCAAATCAAGTGTTACCAACTGAAAAAGAACCAGAAAGAAAAAGAGCAAAATGAAGAAATACAATGGAAGTCGCAGGAATAGAAAACGGGAAAGAATAGAGTTAAATTGGGATTTTGTTGTGAAGGACATTTTTGGAATAATAATATTATTAGGGATAAGAGGGTAATACTTGGTCAAAGATAGTTGGCTTTTAAGCTAAAAAAAAAATTGGGATTAATCAACTTGTGGCTTTTGATTTTTTTTAAGCCAGTTTAACTTTTTTTAAGGTGTTTTCTTTTTCGCCAAACACTTCCAATATTTAAGCCAATCCAAACAGGCCTCTTAAGGTGCTAACTCTATGACATTCGGGGAGCAACAATGCTCCACATGGTGCTGTAATTTTGGGAATACCTTAAGGGGTCGTTTGGTATGATATATAAATAAAAATAATCTTGGGATCAAATTTCAGTACCATTATATCGCTTATTTGGTTAATAAATTTGAGATAAATATTATAGGATTAAAAATAGTACCGAGATAACTTATATCTGCCTGAGGCTGAAATAGTAATTCTAAGATAAATTATCCGAAACAAGAAGAGTCATGTTGCCAACCGAAAAAGGAACTCTTACCTAAAATCCCCACCATTTTTTCCCTTTTTCCATTTTTGTTAAAATTTATTTGTTTTACCATAACCTTTCAAGTGTTCATAAAATGTCAAAACTTTCTTCTTTGAATGCTTAATGCTTTTACTACCAAGTCCTAAATAACTCAAACATGCATCTTCTAGTGCCATGCTCAATTAATAAGTAACTTAAACACCGAGTATTTAAATGATAAGATACGTAAAGATTCATTTTTCGACAGTATGTGTAACTTAAATAAAAAACAGGGGGAGGTTTACTAACTTTGGTGTGAAATATACTTCCGTAGAGATGCTATTTGATATCTTTCTATATCACTAAAATCAACAGAGAAGCAAATTTATTTAATTAGTATCTACTTCATCAATAGCTTATACCTTTATATACTCCAAATCTATATGAAACTATTTATCTTTCAGAAAAATTAATTTAACTATTAGTTACATATTTTTATAAGAATAGACATGACTTGTTAAAACCACTAAATACTAAAGTTATTTTTTGAAAAGTTACTAAAGTTGATTATTCGTATTTTTTGGTACTCCTACCAATCTCCTACCAATCTAACGGTAACACTGCCATTTCCACCGGCAAATTTCCACCGGCAAATCTCAGCGCCGGCGATTCGTCCAGATGAACCAGGTAAGTTCGACCCTCTCTTTCCCTCTCCTCTCCTCACTTTTCTCTCTCCTTTCTTTCTCCTTTCTCTCTCTCGGGTCTCTCTCTTCCTTTCCCTTTCTTTTAACCCTAGCAGCAACTAGGCCGGCGACCGGCGACCCACCGGCGCAAGCTATCTTCTGCTTTTTCGGCCCAGCCATACCACCCTCCCCTGTGTTTCCCCTTTCTTCAAACCTTGCCTCGGCGTTCCTCTAGTTCTCGGGCAGGCACTGTTTTCCGGCGACCGTTCTGGTGACAATCCTCCCCATTTTACTTGGCCTCGGGGTTTGCTGTGTGTGTTGCAGGTACCACTGTTGGCGGCTGTTTGGTGACGGGTGGGAGGTGCACGGACAAGCATAGCGGAGCAGGCCATTTGACAGTCACAAAGGGCTGGACGTCGGGTTCCAAAGCACCCAGGTTATATTTGCGGGAATTGCTGCAGCTGACTAGGCAAGCGCGAGGCATACGGGCGAGTAGAGCGGAGCATCTCCGGGTGCATCAAGTCATATTCCCAGGTTCTTTCGATCGGGAGTTGGTACCTCCCGTTTTCTTGTCTCTTTCTCTGTGTTAGATAATTTGTGGTTATCTAGTTAGCACCATTTTAAACGTATTTTTAATATTTTAGTATACTTGTAGTTGCAACCGGTTATTTTCTGGTTTGGGCCCGGGTTAGTGCCTCCCGAAGTCTGTCGTAGGTATAGTAGCCGCGGTGTGGGATGGTAGAGTAAGGTCNAATTTTAATGGCCATATCGAGGCAGCTGCTGGCAGTTATGGCGAGGTGCATGTGGCTTTGGCCTTGGGGATAGGAACGGAAGAGGTACTTCACTGTTAGACTTCGTTAAGGCTTTCGAGCTGGTGATTGCGAACTCAACTTTTTCGAAGAGGAAGGAGCATCTGGTTACTTTCCGAAGTTCGGCGGCGAAGACTCATATCGATTACCTTCTCCTCAGAAGGTGTGATAGAGGGTTGTGCAAGGATTGCAAGGTTATCCCGGGAGAGACCCTCGCAACTCAGCATAGGCTCTTAGTGATGGACATCGGCATTATGATGAAGAGGAAGAAGAGGTATGCTCGTGGCCGACCAAGGATTAGATGAGGAGCTTTAACCAAGGATAAAGCCTAGGAATTGGAGGGGTGGTTATCTACTATGGGAGCTTGGAGGAGT